GAATTTTTCGGAACCATTCTTGTATATTTTTCTATTTCTTTGGATACCTGTTGGTGGGTGGTGTGGTATTTCTTTTTCTTATATAGAGGTAGGCAAATGACTCTACCCCACCTGATGTTAAGTGGTAATAAAGTCCGAACGCGAAGATAGTTGGTACAGCAGTTATAAACTGCTGCATCCTCACCTTGCCGGCGTGCAAAAATGCTTTTTCACGCCTCTCTTAAAGGACCCCAGATTATAGGAAGGATCCCTAGCGCGGGTAAAGAATTTCTATTGATGAGTAAGGTTTTCAGAGTTCCACGGATTACATTAGACAATTGTCACACAAAAATCATCACTCGCGCCGTTCCCGCGGAGCCCTTGTACCTTATTCATCGACAAAAACACAACACCACCAAAAAATAGTGGTATATTGAAATAATAAAGTTCGAAATATTTTGTGTGATTATTTCACTAAAAGGATGCGGTGTATATTCTGCTTATTTTAGATTGAACAACAAAACCTCAGCTTTTTTATACCCTGACTACAAATGTCACCTTCTCCATAAAAATCAATAGTAATCCATCCATCAGTATCAGATAGACAGCTCGACCACTGTTTACAATTTACAGTCGATTTTACGTTGAAATTGTTCTGTCTGTTAATAGTCATATTGTATCGATACCAGGTTAATGTACATAGAAGTATATAGAGCATGTTATTATGTTATAGAAAATCTATAATATCAGAACGTTAATGTTTATCGTGATTTGTCATCTGTGGAATGGTGGTAATCATTCGATTTCTTTGGAGGCCAGATAAATAATTAGACTCATTTCTCATGGTCTCTGACAAATAGAAATTGATTTTTCCAATACTTTTTTCTAAGCACAATGAAAGTGGTCTATTATAAGTATATCATCATCAATAGCCTATTAACTGCTGGGGCACAGGCTTTCCCTATGGAGAGTGAGAAGAGATAGTTATTCTTTTGATCACCCATCCAATTGCTTTTTTAAGGTTTTTTGGTGTGATACTAGCGATTTTTAATTAATTTCATTATCTTTTTTACCTGTCTGTTGCTGCCACTTTTTTGATGCTTTTTTGCCATGACAGTCCGTGATATCCTAGCTTGTCGACATCACTGCCACAGAGACATTTATGAGGAGCGCAGACTGGGACCCCAAGCCGTAGACAGGTTGCGATTCGGAGCGTGCCAGGCTCAAGAAAGTCTATTATATATCTATGTTTTGATCGTGTTATAAAATATTACCCAAACAGCTATTTCAAAACTATGTCAGTCTAGATTATGGTGATAGTTTTGACTGACACGCAGCCGGTAACGGTGACCAATTATCATTAATATTCAAGCCGTTTTGAATTTAATTTATTGGAGTAACAATTAATATATCGTATGAAACCAAGACCAATAAAATATGTAAATACTGGAGGTGAGCCGGTTTCTAGTTAATAACATAAACTTACATATGACTACCGAATGCAAAATAATTAGGTATGACAGAAAAAAGTGATATACATCTGGGGGGGCTACTATGGGCCTTATTCTATGATTCGTAAGGTGTTTTTACAATTATGGAGTTTGTTTTAGGTTAATTACAATGAAATTAAAATAAATGCTACCTGTATTTATAACACCGATCACTTGGAGTTGGATTTACAAACCAAAATTTTTCCGTACCATAGAACAATATCGAGCGAAACCACGTTACGATGATACATTTTTGGTTGAAATTTGGTATACATACCTATAGTTTATTACTTGGATTGAAACATAGGATACTTTTTATTTCCAAAAAATTTAGATTCCTTTAAAGTAGACGGGCGGAAGGTGGTAGATAATAAAATGAAATGAATCTATCTTTGTTTCACATATTTGTCTTACTCAAAAATTATAATTGGGGTTGATTCTATTAAAAACTTAATAGTAGTTCAGCTGTCGCTATCGCTTTTTGACACAGTTCTCTTTAATAAAACATAAAATAAATATTAATATAGATAACAGTAACAAATGAGGAAGCAGACAAATATTTGTTTTTTATGTTCTTGTGTCAAAAATCGAAACTTCTGAATCACCAATGATATACGATTATTCCTTTAACTTATCAAAATTACAACCCGGCTGTCATTAAAGTTACCCTGTGTTATGATGAGAGCCAGGCAAAAAGAAGAGACTGTCGTTAACTTTGGAAATAATTCATTTTATTTTTATATGAACATAGGGTGAAAAGGACAGCCGTTCTTGCTGAGTTTCTTGCCGGTTCTTCTCCGTACAAGGTCTCCTGCAGCTCTCCCGTAGATTTACGAACCGCTGGCGTAGCTTCTAGACATTTATGAGTGCTTGTAACAGCCCAAACTGGTTAAAAAAAAATAGATTTCAATTTTTTAATTTTGATTCTCAATCAGTAGTTTTAGGTCCGAAGCAGTTGCTGGCGCCAATGGTCTAACGTGCCTTCTCTGAAGAATCGAGGAAGTAGAAAAACATACTTTTGGTGGCCAACTCTACAACTGGCCATTGCGAAAGTTGCTTTACTACCACAATCGCAGACTAAGCGATGTTATATAAACTCTATAAAGCTCTATAAACACTTTAAAATAAGAACAATAACTTATCCCAAAGATCGGTTTCAGCAAAAGGAAATAAAAGCTAAGCCAAACACCTTTAAACTTATTTAACAAGAGATATCATCAGATTTTATTTATTGCGACACAAATTTGATTACTAATTAGGACTCAATTACGCAGTGCTGATTTATGGTGGCAACATATACTAAACTTCCAAGTTTTCTCATTAAATAAATAAGCGAACGGCATTAGCTGTGTTTTATGTTCAAACATGCCAATAATTAAAGCATATATACCAAACGAATTGTGAATATTTCAGTATTTATCTATATATAATATTCTTTTCAATGTTCATAAAGGAAGTGCATGCGAATGTTTGTAAGATGAAATAATAAAATGATTTATACCATATTATCTAGAAAGACTCAATATTATACATAAACAGACAGATCAAGTAATAAAAATAAGTTCTGCGAGTAGTTGAATAAACTCTGGTAACAAATTATACAAAAACAAAAGAAACTAAATAAAAACAGGTAGCTACGACTTAGAGTTTGTTGAAATACTTGATTAATTTAGAATATAAAGCATAATCTTATGCTAATAAATATTAGTTCATTGTCACTAAAACTAAATAGTTTTGTGACAATGAACATGTAAATCAGTTACCAAAATTACAACCAGACAGTAAAATTAGATTTCCGGTAATGGCACCTGGATTTCAGAGATTGAATAATTTCAAGTCCTAATTTTAACCTTTTTACGATAAGAGTAATTGAAAGTTGATGATAATTATTTAAATACTTCTTCTAAATACTGCTGATTATACTACTAATAGAATTCAGCCAAAAGAAACAAAATAAAATTATTCTCACAATTTAATCTATTCAATAAAATTATAAATAGTAGAAACAATTTGAATTGTAAAGCTAATAAAAGACAAAAAAGTGTCTAGTTTTGATCGCATATATTTGCATTTTGATAGAGTGGTTGGTTTATTTTTACTTTAAACAAAAATGTATTTTTAGTTTATTCGAAAGATAAGAAATAATTAAAATAAACTCTTAAATTTCAGCAATGATTCTTAAAAATTATAAAAGCAGTGTCTACGGTAGCGCCAATAACAGCTAATAAAGAAGCTCTTTTATAGGCTTTAGCATAGCATTAGCATTATTTTTACCATGAAATCATTATCAAATATGAGATAATTTCTATGGAAATAATCTTAGTTCTAAAACTTTGTTTATATAACGAAGTTTCAGCTTTGACGCTTTATTTACCCATACAATATTTTGTGAAAATAATATAAATATAATTTATTCATTTTATAATTAAAGGTCGTAACTATAAATTATATTAAGTAATGCCTTTTATTCTATACTAGTGGCCCGCCCTTGCTTTTCTTCGATGTAGAGGTGTTGTGTAGACTATAGTTTTTGATCTCAGACTTGTATTATACACAATGACTTTCTTTATATAATGATAAACCTTCCGTGAAAATTTTGTTGTATATTTTAAAAACCATTTACCATTGCTCTTCTGTTAAAAAAGTGTGTCTCCCTTACCGTTGGTCCATATTCTTATTATTAAATGTATCTTGTGACGTAGTGGTTTATCACTCATCACTTTAATCACTTATTGAAAAAATTTGATCATTGAATATCTAATGGGTCCCGGCTGTTGTAGTTGCTTTGTTCGTTACAAACAAAATTATCAGACTACTGGACTTGTTTTTTAATTTTCAGTTTTTACTTGAAGTAATAATTAAGCAGTCGGGATTTTAGATTTTTTTGAATTTGCCTCTTTTTTTTTACTAATTTCTTATGGAATTATTATTTCTAATAGGTACTGCTTTTGTCTAAAATCTAATGTTTACAGATTCGCAGTTGAAGTATTATTAAAAGTAAATATTTGTTAGGTTTTTCATCATACCTATTTTTTATAAACTATAATTTATAATATTATTTTCAAACTCATGTTTTATAAATAGAAAATATTGTAGGTAGCAGTTGCCAGATACAAACTTATCTTACAGTAAAAATATATCACGAGAAAATACGACAGCTTTATTCTAAAATCTCTCATAAAAGTACTAGCATAGATAATCTTTAAAGTAGCTGCAGGTATGTCTCCTATCTGAATGTTCTATCAACTCATTTGACCTTAAAACGTGAATGCGTTTAAGAACTCGTAATTTAAAAGCGAAGCCCTAAAAGGTTGTCAGCGCCATAACTGCGATATCCTAATAGCGTTTGTTTGCTATTGTTTTTTACTATGAGAAGGCAGGTGTGAGGGCGAAAGGAAACATAGAAGATATACACTTAACATAGTCTTTATTGTTAACAATATATGGTTGTGTTTTCTTAAAGGCTTTAGTGGAATGAAGTTGGCTAACACCGCAGCCGTGTTGACGCATGCGCGCTTTGCTCCAGTCTATAGTAAACCTGCGCGAGATTCGAACGCGCTCGCCGTAGGTAGCTTACATTCGAATTACCGCGCAAAAGTTTTCGATTTTCGTAAACGCGACAACCAATTCGATTCCTCTATCAACGCGCATTTTTAGTGTTGTGCAGAAAAGTGCTTTACTTTTGGATGGATGTTCACAAACCGTGCTATTTTGTGTTAGTGCAGCGTTACATCGGGCTGTTTCTACTGTGATTTCGGAATCATTTTCGGTGAGTCGTTTGTTAGAGTCTGATCTTTAATAGGGCTAGTTCCCGTTTGGGCGTGCAATATTGTTATGTTACTCCGGTCACGATTTCGATTAGGTCATTCGAGATCGTTTTGTGTTTACAAAATTGATAATGAACCTTTTTTTCATGCATTCATTGCAAGTTCAGGAAAAACTTCTTCATGCGTATTGTTTTTTTTCATAATTTAATTTATTTTTAATGTGTATTCATAAAATTTTATTTCATTCAATAGCAAGAAACAGAAGTCGGTTTTAATAATAGTCTACGAATAAACATAAAATGGTAGTGTTTTTTTTTGTAGACGCTAATTAGTGTTTGCATGATACCTGATATTCTGACAAGGATATCCTTTATTTTAAACTCGTTTATTTCAAGTCAAGTGATTGGAAATATAATTCTTAAATTAATATTTTATTCACTTTCCTTTCCTTGCATTTCATATTTATGCTTACAAACTTAACGAATTTTATATAAGATGAAACGAAATTTTATGAAAACAGTTTTCATGAAAATAGCCGAAAAATACACTCCTACATACAGTTAACATTAGTAGAACAAACAAGCTTTAGTTGTAAAGGTACATATCTACATGTTATCTTCTTTAATTCAACTGAATGAACCCTTGAACAGATAAATAAAAGTAAGCCTGACTGATGCATAGAGCCAGGCCAGGAGGGTAGTAGGTTTTCCCCTCTGTCGAGATGGGCATGTACGTATTGTGCGTACGATGTATTGTGGAACTGTTTATGTGTGAGCATCGTAATTACAGGTTTTTTATATGCACGTACGTTAAACTGCATTTGAATGCATATTCCCCCCGCAAAAAATGACACACTGATTTGAAAAGTATTATGTCATAGCGACATGATATAATACTATACAAACGGAACGACGACGGAAGGGTTCTTCCTGCCGTGTTGCTCTATGGTCTGATGATAAGAAAATCCTAAAAATATCTTTTATATCTCTTAAAATAACCAAACACGAATTAAGTACATTTTGTAATTGAGGAGTCCATTATTTTCTCCGAAAGTACTGATCAAATCCTCACCAAATTCATACGGGACCATTTCGCCAAAATACTGATTCAAATAAAAATAATGATCAAAATCGGTCCACGCATCTCGGAGATGTGCACGAACAACAATAAACAAAAAAAACATATAACGACGACCCCCTTAGGTTCGAGGGGTCTAGAGGATCCAGACGGAGAGGAGTCCCCGTGGGGAGATGCCATCCGCCTGGAATACCTCTAGAGGCACTCGCCAATTCTCGGCTTAAGGTCCCCTTAGGATCTCGCCGTCCCCAAACCCGGTGACGCTGTAAAGGTCATCTGCGATCAACAGCATACACACTCAAAACAAAAAAAAAATGTAATGACGAATTTAGAACCTCTTCCTATTTGAAGTCGGTTAAAAACGAACATTAAGTAAATATTTTGAAAATTTGTATGGAAACTTGAACAGCAGCGCTTTAATTAATGTAACGAGAACTAAACATCTTTACATATTTAACAATGACATTTCGCACTCGAAAACTATTCGAATCGATATTTTTTCTTTTTTGTGGCAAGCACGGTTTGTGCGTTGAGCCAATGTCAAATAAAATAATTCGATATTGGTTCGTGCTAAGGGTACTGAAGTGAAACTTTTTTTCCTAAATTTACACCCCGTCCGAAAAGTTTTTTCTCCTCAACAAAGAAACACTTTAACGCTAGAAAACTTATTGTTGTTCGTTATTGTCTTGCCTCTTTTTCTGGCCGCTGCTCTATACATATAATAAAATGCTAGGGAAGTCAAAACTGTTCATTGAATATTTTTTTAAAAGAATACTTGGGGTGTGATATACAATCGATACCGAAGCCAAAAATATAGTTTTTAGAATTTTTGTCTGTTTGTCTGTATTTATGTCCGGGATAAACTCAAACAGTACTGCATGGATTTACTTCAAATTTGGCACGAATATTGTTAAGAAGTCGGGTCAACATACATATTATCACACTATCACTTACGAGGAACGAGCAGTGAACCTTTATTTCTTCAACGCATTCTGTAACAACGAATAACTAACTCCACGCGTACGAAGTCGCGGGCGGCCGTTAGTGTACATACCTACTATAAAGCATTCAGGTTGTTTTAAAAGAATTGCCCGTCCTATCACACTTGACGTTAAGTTAAAGTTAACTCCGTTCAGTTGCGAAGATAGTGAATACAGGATGGCGAAAAAGTATACATCCCGGCAAACTTCTTAAGCAACGACCCTAAGTTTGGATAAGGTAGCGCCTGCCTGCGCAGTAGCAATTTTACATACAAAAACGTCTTCTGTGCAAGTTTAATTGTCTGTAGTTTTGCCTCAAGAAGTTTACCGTGACCTTAACCAATTAGGTTACCGAGACCTTAATGGCGGTGTCTGGACCCTGCGGATTTTTTTCTAGTAACATTTTCTTTGGTATGTAGGTACTATATTACTATAAAATAAGTATAATAAAGTAGAGGTAACTTTCCTTAAATTTTTTTAATAAAGGAACTAATCTCATAATGTCGAAATATGTTGCCATTGGCATTGGGTTTATCTATAATCTCCCCTATCAAATAGTTTGCATAATATAACATGTTTTATGCCTAATTGTACTAAAAATAACAATTAGTTTGTTATTATGGTCATTTCCTGCGTTTTTTTACTGTCCATTGGTCTAACGGCCACCCTCAGTAGCGTTACTTAATTTTTATTAAAGTTGATGCTATAATTTTATTTAAATATCAATTGAATTAGTCGGTGCACCGTTTTCTTTCATAGGTCTAATTCAGTTGCCATCCTGAAAAAACAATATTTCCCTTCTTTGATACGATAGCGTCATCTATATATATAAAACAAATCGTTTTATTGAGAACACTTATAACTCAAGAACGGCTGGATAGATTTTAATAAGTTCTAACCGCGCGGAATAGCAGAATAACTGATAAAATATTGGAAAAGTCGCGGAAACAAAATAATACTCATAATAAGTTTTGGTATAGATATGTTTGTTACTCCGCCATCTTGTGCAATGGACAGCTCACGTCATTCCAAGATCAGCTACTGCTAATGAAATTAACAGTAATCAGCCTATTAATGTCCCCACTGCCGGGGCTCAAGCCTGTCCTTTTGATGGAATGGGGAGATTGGGCCATGACCCACCACGCGGGCGCAGTACGGATTAGTGGGCGCTAAGGACCAATAGCTTAACGTGCCTTCACGGAGGAGATTGAGATAGTCGGTAATTGGATGTGTGACCAAAACTTTAGTATTTTTGAGTCACTCATCCAATGACCGACCACTGCGAAAGTTGCTTAACTTCAGCGATCGCTGCCTAACGTTCACTAACCACTTGCGCTATCGAGCTCTTCAATGATGAAATTAACGCTTGCCTCAAGTTATCGAATCTGTGGCCCTATGTGAAAAGTTTTCAGCTGACAGCAAACAGTTGCATTGCTGGCAAAACATCACTCAACGATTCATAGATCTGCTGAAGATTCCTCCAAGAAATTGCTGACTATCATTTCCTCCATTTTGGTCTCATTTGAGTAAGCTTTTTAACAAGATATTCCTGAACATTATTACCAATCAGAAATTTAAAAAAACGGTTGAGATAGTGAATAATTTTAGATGGCTAAGAAGACTGATGTAGATGATTTTAACTTCTTTATCAGGAAATGTTGTTGGTACAGTTTTCATTGTGTAACAGACGCATAGCCACCAATTATCAGATTGACTATTAAACTCAGAAAAGTGTCTGGCTGATGTCCCCTAGGAGGAGGCTCTATACCAGCACTATTTAAAACTGATTCTTTGAAATCGAAACCAACCACATAATGGAATACATTTGGTGATAATAAAACAGTAAGAAAAAAAATGTGTAGTTTAATTAATTTATTATTGTTTCTTTAAATTAACCTCTAAAGTCTCTAAAGAAAACAACTTTTTTATTTAAGTTGATTTACAATCGTTAGTTAAATTGAGCTAAAAGTAACGACATTTTCCTATTGTATACGGTACGAAGTTCGCCGGGTCAGCTAGTAAATTATATATTTTTTACCATATTGTCTGCCTTCTGCAAGGTGGAGTTTGCTTCCACAGACGGGTATTGCTAATTACGAGTAGAACATTCTTCCTTAGACATATTTTTATTTTGGGATGGCAATACCCCTTACCTACTCTGTTACATACCGTATTTAATTATGAACAATTTGTGATTTACCATAACTTACGTGACATCTTAGAAAACAAAAGCGCGTTCGCAGACGTCAGTAAAATTTAACGCTTGTCAAAGTGACGTGTCGTTTTATTATATTGCTTGCTATGGTAAAGATAGAGAAAGCAATAAATTTAAATCATACTTAAAAGTTATTGATGTTTCTTAGCGCAGATGTAGCTAAGTTAAAGTAAGGCCGCAACTGCTTCTGCGTTGAATAATCATAGAAATTTACCCCCATTTTGCCCCTGTTTCATTTTCACGACTAAAAGATCCTATATAAATAGTATCTTCAAGGTCTCATTTACCTCTACACTAAAAAACTTTTAAAATGATTAATACATATAAAAAATCCTGCCTTAGCTTTGGCGAGCTTTCTACCTCTGAACCACCGAAGCTTGTTGATGAGGTCTGATTTTTTTAATAAAAATTTAAAATGTAATGCAAACATGCTAAAGATGAACCAAAAAACAGTGTACACGGACTACTCATATGAAGTGAAACTTCGTTTCTTAAATAATGTAACATAAGGCGGTGGTATATATATATATATATATATATATATATATAGGTTATTTAAGAAATGATATACACGCAACTATATGTAGTCGCGTGTAACGCTCGTGACACTCGTAGCGTTACAGCCTTCACTGTGTTACCCAACTTGCATGCTCGTCGGGAAGCGCTGCGCACGCATCCCACACACACACATGTACATATTTATATATATGTATATATATGTGTAGTCGAG